TACTCACCACAGGAATCTAGTTTTTGTTTACTCGTTACCATGACGAGCTTTGCCATAGCAACAGTTTTTCCAAGCTGATTTCAACTAAACTAAACACGATACAACTTGGCAAACACGCATTTCCTCACCATGGGATTTGGATTTTTGTTTACCTGTTACCATGTCAACGGTCACCATAGCAACAAATTTTCTATGACTGATTTCAGCTAAAAAAAAAATTGAACCTCGTAATGTTTCACATCAGATATTGGTAGTTGGTGAAAATATTTCTGTCGATACTAATCTGAAGAAATTATGGAATAATATTTGAGTGTGTTGTTATGTTGAAAATTACGATGAATTATGCACAATCTTTGACCAATTTAGATGCACTCAGATAAGATTTAGGATATTTTTGTAACTACACACGCTTTGTCATATGTACCTAAAAGAATCTACCTATCACAATTTTGTATCATGAAGATGTTTAGTGTACCCTATGATATTGTAAATATTGTACATACTGAAGAAACCATACCTATACAGCGTGATCCACGGTGAATGACCTATTGGAAGTATCTGGAGAACGAGAGGACAGAACATATGAAAATTGAGATACTTTGATAATTAAACAGTCTCTATCCGTCTAAAATATTTTCATCGATACAGTGTTGCCACTTCTATCAGAAACAATTAGCAACACTGCTATTTCAAATAGAAGACCCTGTATTTTATTGCATTTTTAGATTTTTCCTAAAGAGCTGATTTCATCGATGTATCACACTTGGGGTCTAGCAGGAATGATTACAGAGACATAGGGTGTTCAAAATCATTTTTCAATTTTAGGATTTTTTTGTGTCGAAACTATTCATTATCGATTAAAACAGCTCACATGTCTCAATCTCGAATTTTGATTCATTATCTACTGGAATTTGATTGAAAAAAATACAGGGTGCCTCAAGATTCAGAATTCTGATCACCTTGAATCTGTTCCAGTTAAATGTCAGTAGATAGTGAATCGGAAGTTGTGATAAGCATGAACAGTTTCGAAACAAAAAATCCTAAAATTGAAGAACCTCGGTTTTGAACACCCTATATCTATATTGTGATCATTCCTGCTAGACCCCAAGTGTGATACATAACAAATAACAAATAACGAAGTTGCTGGTTCTGATAGAAGTGGCAACACTGTATCGATGAAAATATTTTAGACGGGTAGAGAATGTTCAATTATCGAAGCATCCCAATTTTCAGAATGTTATGTCTTTTCGTTCTCCAGATACTTCTAATAGGCCATCCACCGTGGATCACCCTGTATATTAATCATTCATGTTATTGATCTGAAGTGGGTAAATAAAAGTTGCATTTAGATGACCTTTCGTTTCATTTCTTGATGATTTTCTCATTTCATTTCTGTTGCAGTGATATTCCCCTGCCTATTTTGTACATTTCATCCATCAGCTCTCTTAATATCGTGATCCCTATATCCAGTTGATTCATCAATTCGGTGCAAGTATTTTGAATTTTGTAAACATCTTTTCTTCCGCTCGGTTTCGCTAAACGCTCCGTCTCGCAAATGCAGAATTCGCTTGTTAAACAAAGTGTCACTTTCGATCCTAATAAAACAATCTACTATTTTGGACTCGTAGACTTCCAGGACTCGCCTCTACGGCTCGGCCTAGAATTTTGTCTACTCGTCCAAAAAAACAGCATTTTCCGGACTGGTTACGTAAATTACCATTTTGAGAGTTATATAAGGGTAGATATAGTCTCATGGACCACCCGGTATAGGCTTGGAGAAATGTATGATTATCATTGTAGGTGTAATATTTGATTACCGCTATATTCAGTTCCAAAATCCTATTCTCGTTCAGGGTAACCTTGTGGAAATGATTCGTCAATAAACCCTTCTCACCCGAATAATTAGCAAAACTCTGTGAGGATTTCATAGACATTTCGAAACCACGTTTGAAACACTCGAACCAGGGGCGCGCATAAAGCTCTGAGAGGTATTGCGAGGTTCTCATATTCTCCGATACCAATTTTGAATAGAATCGGAACGTAATTACAAAACTCTTTCGATATATTAGATTTGCCATCTCGAATTTCCTAATGGTACAGGGTTAAAAAGGATCCTATAACCTTCTCCTGGTTCTAAGCTACCTCCCCACCAATTTTCAGCCAAATCGATCCGGTAGTTTCGGAGCCAATTCAATACAATACAAACAAACAAACGAACAAACAAACACTCAAATCTTTCCTCTTTATGATATCAGTATAGATATTGAGTATTCGTAAATAATCAAGGGTATAGATTATTATTAGATCCAATAACTTGGTAGGTTTCAATGCAAACAGAACACAACCATGCCTTATCTCTAGGAAAGCCGATCTCACCTTGCCCAACATAAAATATATTCGGGAGTAACCATACCCTTGAACACATCCATTTCGACGCTTGGTATTACTATCAGCAATGACCTTTCTTGGGAAAATTACGTGAGATCAACTGCTAGAAAAGCATCCCAAAACCGTGGTTTTCTGTTTCGTGCCAGGAGATATTTCACTTCCAGTCAGCTGCTTATGATCTATAAGGCACAGATCCGACCTGTCCTGGAATACTGTTCCCAAACATACCCTGAAACTATCGGATTTTGTCCAAAAAAGGGGAATTCGTCTTGCGGGTGATGCCTCGATAACAAACTCGCTCACTTCTTTGGAAAACCGTAGACAAGTTGGCGATCTGGCCCTATTTTATAGATATCTTCATGGGCGATGCTCTTCTGAAATATCAACAATTGTTCCTCCCTTGGCAGTCCCCGCGAGATTAACCCGTCGAGTTGAGGCTTCGCACCCTTTCGTGGTCACTTTGGAGACCTGCAGAACATCTCTTTCCAAAGACTCGTTCATCCAACGAACAGCGAGGCTCTAGAACACATCGCCAAGGGAGGTGTTCCCAAGGCATACAACCTCCAGAAATTCAAGAAGAACACCAATTCCTACCTTATTTCCTTTGTTTCTCACGATGTTCTCTGAACATTACAGGATATCCCTTTTCGTGGGGAGCAGAAAAAATAAATGAATAATTCTCGGGGTAAATATTGGCTTCAACCCCCTTGCGTACGAGTACGGCCCTGTTCCACGCATCACCTGTGGATTGGGAGCGTGGGATTACGACAGCTCCCACTTTGGTCTCCCACTCTCGGGCGCCCTTGTTTGAACAGAACCGAGAAGGGAACAGTTTGAAGACGAATTAGATTCCGCTGTAATCGAGTTCAGTTTCAACAGTCGTTGAATCCGTAATGAACTTTCCTTGTAAGACGAAATCCGGAAGTTCGCATCAGCTTTTGTCTAACTACGAACTTATTGTATGCGAATTTAGAAGTGCTTATAAGGGCCACATTTTTCAATAGGAGTGATTATTGTCCATCCGAGGGTGAGTCTATTTCTATGACCACTACTGTACTTAAAATGGAATAATAATACAGATAGCTTCCATATTGTTCACCGAAGAAGAAAACTGCATTAGTTCTATATAACATAATCTTAATATGGTGAAACCTTAGCCGTAGCACTTGATATCTCCAAGGCAATCGATCGAATCTGGCACCACGGACTCCTCGCCAAGATTCCATCTTATGGCTTGCCTCCCCAGCTATGTTCTCTGCTAGCTAGTTCAAACAGGTCTCACCATGTAGTGGTCGACGGAGTTTCATCTGACTTTCTCATCATTAATGCTGGTGTTCCGCAAGGATCAATTCTAGCACCAACACTATTTCTACTCCATATCAACGATTTGTTGGAAGCAACTTCATGTCCAGTACACAGCTTCGCGGGTGATAGTACCCTCCATTCCGCCTTCTCTTCCAAGACTCCAATACCAGCCAGCCAAATCAGAAACGAACGAGGGAGAAATGTTGACAACATAATTATGGACTTGGCAATGATTCTCGAATGGGGATCCAATAACTTGGTTGATTTCGATGCAAACAAAACACAAGCATGCCTTTTCTCTAGAAGAGCCGATCTCACTGTGCCCAACATGAGCTTGTCAGGAGTAGCCATACCTTTTTTGGGAAAATCACGTGAGATCAATTGCTAAAAGTGCATCCCAAAAACTTGGTTTTCTGTATCAGGCCAGGAGCTGTTCCACTTCCAGTCAGCTGCTTATGATCTATAAGGCACAGATCCGACCAGTCCTGGAATACTGTTTCCATATTTGGAGTGCAGCACCCAAACATACTCTGAAACTGTTGGATTTTGTCCAAAAAAGGGCAATTCGTCTCGTGGGTAATGCCTGGCTTACAAACTCACTCACTTCTCTGGAACATCATAGAAAAGTTTTCCATGGACGATGCTCTTCTGGAATATCAACAATTGTTCGTCCCTTGGCAGTCTCCGCGAGATGAACCCGTCGAGTTGAGGCTTCGCACCTCTTCGTGGTCACTTTGAAGACCTGTAGAACATCTCTTTCCAAAGATTCGTTCATCCAACGAACAGCGAGGCTCTGGAACACATTGCCAAGGGCATAGTACCTCCAGTAATCTAAGAAGAACACCAATTCCTGTCTTATTTTCCTAGGTTCTCACGATGTTCTCTGAACATTACAGGATAGCCCTTTTCGTGGGAACCAAAATATGAAAAAATATATATATTTCGGTTTCACAGAACTAAAATGATTGAAACATATTGCTAGTGGTGAAAAACACTCATGAAGCCTCGGGAAATAATCTTCTTCCCTGAGTTATACTGATATTCTTCACTACCTTGGTGTATGAATAACTATTTTCTCCCGTGGGAGTGAATTGACTACATTTCTTTGTCATATGATTCAGTGGATCGATTTTTTTTCTGATTTGACGTTTTTCACTCGTATAGACTTTCCCAAAATAAAAATTGAATGGACCGAAATACAATGTAAGTATAATCGTTCATCATAGGTTTTATTATATAACAAAGCAAATCTGCCAAAAGATTAAAAAACCTCAAATGTATATGGCATCTTGTTATCATTTTTTCAACAGTTATTATCTACTCACCCATGGTAATGACTTTCAATAGAGCCAAATAGGTTATCACTATCTCAACAGCACAAAAATATTGATCATTTTGACCTATACAGTCTGTAATCAGCCTTTCCTAGATAAATATATTCGAATAATTATCTGACTTGTGTCATACGATTTGGGCTTGTGAGTAAATAGTGATCATGAATAAGTTCGTCCTGATTTGTATTTTTGTCACGTTGGTCTCGGTGAGTTATTGATTTAGAGTCACATTATTTTGAGTTCACATCTTTGATACGTCTATACTGAAGAAAATGACAGAAAGTTTTTGCTAATTTCCGATATGAAATATATTTCTTTATGCACTAGCGGTCCGTAAAGTGCACTTTACAGCCCGGTTTTACGGGCGTCAAGTTGCACCTTACTGCCCGCGGGTTCATTATGGCCCATGGGCCGTGATGTTCACTTTACCGCCCGCTGTTCTCAGTTTCCTTATATCCACATATCAATTCTTGATGAACCTATGATCATTTTACCACATTCTAATATATACAGCGGTATCATAAACTTCTTCTTTATCCGATTCCATAGTCTCGCTATCATTATTATCACAAATTTTTACTTTTCAGTCGAAGGATGAAAATTCAGCTTGTTTAATAGATGTATTGCTATAGACAACAACCATCAGATTGCTTGACAACGTCAAAATTAGGTAGGTATACACCGTGTCCCAGCTGAAATGCCCTCTGAAAAAAATCAACCGCACGATCGAATGACTTGAAATTTGGTCACCCAGTATATTTGATGATGCTCACTCGAAATATGCTCTTGAATAAATCGTAGGTATACAGGGTCACACCGAAGTGCACCTCAACTTTCTTATTTGAATAGGGACACCCAGTATATCATTCCATATTCAAGTAGAGTTCATTATTACAAATTCAACAATGCCAGGTTTGATGGGATCATTTCATAGCAAAAAAAAGGTTCAATAAAAAATTTATATGATTAGATTTTATCAATATAACACGATTAAAATCGAATGATGGGTGTTATGCACATAACTACAGACCTGTAAATGATTATCTTCGCCATCGGTTTGAAAAAAAAATTAAAAATCAACAATTGTCTCGATGGTGATAGCAACTGGCCAGCTCGGTCGCCAGACCACAACCCACTCGATTTTTATTTGTGGGGCTACTTGAAACCAAGGGTTTATGAGTCGACAATTGTGAATATGGAAGAAATGAAAGAGAAAATCACAAATTTATGCGCACAAATTGATCGCAACGTGATACATAGGGTCACAATGAACGTTATCAAAAGAGCTAGGAAATGTTTGCAGCAGAATGAACGACATATTGAGCAATTGGAGTTTTCTTTTCACTCGATTTCAATCGTGTTATATCAATAAAATCTAATCATACAAATTTAGTATTGAATCGTTTAGTTTTTTTGGCATATCTTCGTAGTCGTTTGAAAACATACCATCAAACCCGGCCCTCGGCTGGCGCCATCGGGCCATCATTCACGCCACAGGCCATAAACGCCTACTTTACGCACATGATACATAAATTACTATTATTTTTCCAATACCTTGGCAACTGTTGCTACAGTCTCATAACGCCCGGGGCGTTATGTTGGACATTATGAATCATAACGCCCACTCGTTGTTTTTTTTGTAGTTCATGAAATTACATACCGATTTTTGAAAGTGCGCTGATAACACGGTCTTATCTATGGTAATAATTTTATTTTTCAACATCCATACCGCCTCCCCTTCCAGGGCTCCAATACCAGCCAGGTAAATCAGAAACAAGCGAGGAAGAAATGTTGACAACATAAATATAGACTTGACAACAATTCTCGAATGGGGATTCAATAACTTGGTAGATTTCAATGCAAACAAAACACAAGCATATGCCTTTTCTCTAGGAAAGCCGATCTCACTGTGCCCAACATAAGCTTTTCAGAAGTAACCATACCTTTGAAGACATCCATTTCGATGCTTGGTATTACCTACTATCAGCAATAACCTTATTTCTTTGGAAAATCACGTGATATCCAATGATGTATGTGCATCCCAAAAACATGGTTTTCTGTTTCGGGCCAGGAGCTATTTCACTTCCAGTCAGCTGCTTAGGATCTATAAGGCACAGATCCGACCTGTCCTGGAATACTGTTCACATATTTGGAGTGCAGCACCCAAACATCTGTTGGATTCTGTCCGAAAAAGGACAATTCGCCTCGTGGGTAATGCCTCGCTCACAAACTCACTCACTTCTCTGGAACACCGTAAAAAAGTTGTCGATCTGGCTCTATTTTATAGATATTTCCATGGACGATGCTCTTCTGAAATATCAACAATTGTTCCTTCCTTGGCAGTTCCCGCGAGATTAACCCGTCGAGTTGAGGCTTCTCACCCCTTCGTAGTCACTTTGGAAACCTGCAGAACATCTCTTTCCAAAGACTCGTTCATCCAACGAACAGCGAGGCTCTAGAACACATTGCCAAGGGAGGTGTTTCCCGAGGCATATAACCTCCAGAAATTCAAGAAGAACACAAATTCCTACCTCATTTCCCTTGGTTCTCACGATGTTCTCTGAACATTACAGGATATCCCTTTTCGTGGGAACCAGAATATATGTATCTAAAAAAATCGTTGTTCTTATATTCCAGGCTAGACCAGCAGAGAAAAAATGGGAAGCAAAACTGCACAAAATCCACGACGAATGTCAACTGACCGCTCCTACTCGCTCACCAGAGGAGGTGACCCTAACCCTCGACATAGCTCGTGTGAAGGCGCTCTCCCTGTGTATCAACGTCAAATCGGGCATCCAGAATGAACAAGGAGACATCGATAGAGCCGCCCTGGGGAGCCTCTTGGGGCAAGATCCCCAGGCAGAGGAGATTGTTAAGCAGTGTGGTGACCGCAAGGGAGACACACCGCCTGATGCTGCATACAGATTATTTCAGTGCTTGGTAGATTATATGTCCGTCAGTCAACCGAAATAAGCAAAGGGAACCCTAGTACTCAATATTCCTAGATTTTCATCAAATTCTGGGAAATAGGAAATAATCAGAAAGTGATTTCTTGTTATACCTACTCTAGATAAAAAGTAAACATGTGTCATGAGTTGAAAGTTTTTTTATGAGGACCCTGTATGAACCTTATTCTAGAATAGGTCGCGTGCAAGAACTGTCAGATGACCGACCCTGGAGGCAAAACATATTTGTTTAGAAGTGATCGAAATAGTTTTTCACAATTATTTTGGCATATGAATCGTATTTTTCCGCTATTCATCAATTCGCTAATGCCATCACACTGTGCTGTTGTAAAATGCACAAAAACTGCAGCGGAAGATGAAGAAATCCGGATGGTACATCATGATTCAAAAGTAAGTACCTACTATAGTCACATAGTTTTCATTTTTGAAATTTGGTTATTTCTCTGATTTCTCATCGGAATTCCTTATGCAATAGGATCAGCTAATAGAAATATACCTGAAATTTCTAGAATAATGCAAGAAGATTGGATTCATGCAATCAATCGGTAGGACTGGTCTGACATGCTGACGATCGTGTGTGTTGTAGACATTTTCAATCTATTAGCAGCATTAGCTTGTATTGCAGTAGTGGCAGAAGGCAGAAGGAATTTTAATAAGGAATGACAACATTTCATAATGCTAACTATGTGAGATTACTATTTACCTGAAAAATCATATTCCCTAGTCTCTTGCTGCATTTTTTGTGCATTGTCCAACAGCACAATGTGAAGGCATGCTTGAATTAATAAATAACGCAAGAAACACGATTCGTATGCCAAAATATTGTGAAAAACTATTTCAACCTTTTGATTCCTCTGTAACCAAATAAAAAAGTGAGGTTGTGTTTCAATAATTCACAGAAGAATGAGGTTGTGTTTGAATATTTTGCCTCCAGGGTCGGTCTTCGTGCACGCGACCTATGATACTCATTGAGGTTATTGATTCATCTCGAAGGATGGCTTGTCGAATCGAACTTTTATTGTTTCTTCAAAAACTGAGCAAGATACAAAAGTGACACAATGAACAAGAGAGGTGTATATCCAATTATTGAAAATATGAAAAAACTAGTGACTTGACTTGAATATTGATACCGCAATCTAGTGCGACGGGCTCAAGTTTCGTTTAGCTGAGATCAGTTGTGGAAAAACTGTTGCCATGGCAACGATCGTCATGATATCGAGTAAACAAAATCCCTATTCCCGTGGTGAGGAAATGCGTGGTTGCCAAATTGTATCGGATTCAGTATAGCTGAAATCAGTTATGAAAAAACTGTTGCCATGGCAACGATCGTCATGGTAACGAGTAAACCAAAATCCTATTATAGAATCAGAACCATCTTGGAATATTCATTACGAGGTATCGCGCAGGATATAGAAAGAGAGACTACAGGTACTGATTGTCTAATACAAATGGAAACATCTCGTTAGGCCCATCACCCACATTTCCATTTGCCTTCATTTTGATTCACTCATACCTTTCTTCACGCGCACATTCTGATTCAGCAACAGTCTTTAATAATACACGAACGATGCCTTGCTACCAAACCTGAACGATGTTGGAAGGTTGATTTAAGTCGAGTCAGGTTAGATTGTTTGGAAAAAGTAGTGTCCTTATTCATGCAGTCTTCAAACACACACGAACGGTGCCTTGCTACCAAATCTGATTGATGTTGAAGAATATATTGTTTCTAAGAAGGTTCATTTAAGCCGAGTTAGGTTAGATTGTTCAGAAAAAGTAGTATCCTTCCTTATGCGCTATTTGTTCCGCACTATTTTGTCGCTCTCTATTTTGTCTATCTCTGTTCAATAACAGAGCCTATTTTTTCCTGACGTTATTTCCATATATGATTGTCAGAGAAGTAGTAATTTTGGAATTGATCAACGACGAACAGTCTTCAAGAAATTGATAAGAAGGGTATTCATTCGAATCAAGCTATTGTTTGAAGCAAGCAAAACCTTATGGCAAGTCCAAATTTATGGGACACAAATATACGGGAATATGATTTTTGTTCACTCGTTACCATGGCAATAAATTTTCCATAACTGATTTCAGCCAAACTAAACCCGATACAACTTGGCAACCACGCATTTCCTCACCACGGGAATCGGGTTTTTGTTTACTCCTTACCATGACGATCGTTGCCATGGCAACAGTTTTTCCATAAATGATTTCAGCTATACTAAACCCGATACAACTTGGCAACCATGCATTTCCTCACCACGAGATGTTGTATTCTGTTTACCTGTTACCATGACAATGGTTGCCATAGCAACAAATTTTCCATAACTGATTTCAGCTAAACGAAACTTGAACCGTGCGACGTCACTGAATATAATTTCAAATCTCATTTCGATAAAGGATACTCCCATATTACTGTTAACAAAACCATCATGTCTCATCGAAATTGCCAAGACGAAGAGTTGTTGATGAAAAACCAATTTATTATGGAAACATTGATAACCTGTGACTCCGAGAAGAAACCAGGTTGAGGCAAATGTTGATGTGCACTTTGTAAGAAATCATATGAAGAGGAATTACCTGCGCTATTTCTTCTGACTCTCATTCATCTACACCTTGTATGGTAATCGTTGTGGTTACTCCACTCCATAAAATCGTTATCAGAATTTGATATTTTTTGTTGACTATTCCCGTCATGATTTCAAATACTTAAAATTCCGTTTCCATTCTTTTGAGTTCAGTGACGTTCATTTATCCTGTGTATAGCGAGGAGGTGAATGAATTTTGGAAAAATTCTCAAGACACGTCTACGTTTTCATAAATTCACCTAAATTTTGCGATCAATATGAAGAGATCGACCTTTCAGATCATTATATGAAAAATATGATGTGATCTCATAATGAAAACCTTGAGAAACACAGATCTATATGTCACGTAAACGCTTGAGTTAATAAATGAATTATAAAAATCCCTTCATTTTTCCATAATTTATTGGGAGTTTTTATAAAATTAGAAGATGAGTACTATTTCAATATACGCCGTGTATAGTGAGGATAAATCAGAAGATTTGTTCTGAAATGTATCTGGAAACTATGTTCGAAACTGATAATTTATCATCAATTAAATCAGTTCTATCTCAAGCAGAGCCGAAAAAAAAATCATCAAGACATAGCTCGTGTGAAGACGCTCTCCCTGTGTATCAACGTCAAATCAAGCATACAGAATGAACATGGGGCAAGATCCTCAGGCAGGTTTATGAACATGAAGAAACATGTTTTTTTTTCAAATGCTACCCTATGGCTGGTGACCACTCATTGAAAAGCTGGTTGAAATAGGACACCAAGGTGATTATCAAATTTCAGTTTGTGGTACGATTGAGAGTTGCATAATATCAGAATATAATTTCAATTTCCATGTTTAGCAATTCAATTGAATGAGGCATTTTCATCTGCTTGCAGCAATACCTCATTCCGAACTGTGAATACGACACCCAAAAACTACATTTCTTTCTGATGCGGCTGTGTAAAAACACTGGCATAAAGTAGCAGATATCAATGATCGCGAAAAATTACTCTGAATTATACAACTCACAACTTGAGCATTAATAGTTGAGTTGATATTGAAAAAAATCAAATCAGATTATGCTTTTATGCAACCCTTCAACATACTGAAAACTAAAATTTGATCAATTTGCTAGAAGTCCTGTTTCCATCGGCTTGAAGCAATATTATTTCATTTGAAAATAAAACATATTGAGGTTGGTTCCAGCTACCCTTGAGAAGATATTTTTTCTCCGATTGGCAGCCAATATTAATTTTGCTGACACATATCAATCAGCAAAGTAGTTACTTTGCTGATTGATATGTATCAGCAGAATTAATAAACCATAAATCGTTTATAATTTTTTTCATATTTCATCCGAGACTTCTCCGGCAACAAATTCAACTCTATATTTTCTGCCACCTTCCTCATTTCTGGAGGTGTAAGTACTTCCAGGTCGCTATATCACTGTCCATTATATAATAATTTGAATATACCGATATTTCTTCGCACAACTGTCAGAAATTTCATTGTCAATTGTCAAACTATAATTATTATGGACATTTCCATAGCAACCAACCATTCCAACAACTGTGATTTCTATCAAATTTTATTTTAATTGAACACTACAGGAAAAATAAAGAGATATATATCATTATGAACAATCGGAGAAAAAATTATATATGTTCAACTCGGCAGCAAAGATTGACTGCCTTAGCTGGATTCCTAATAGCCTCGCTACGCTCGGCTATGAATTCAGCCTCGGCAGTCAATCTACTACTTTGCTGCCTAGTTAAACAAATAACTATTATTTATTTTACTTGCGAATTAAATACATTGAAACGTTGTTGTATATCGGGATATTTCAGGAAAAATATTCACCTAACCGCTAGTGAGTTAACTCCATCAGTTAAAGTCTCCACTCTGTAGGTTTGTCTCTCTGATATGAGTAGTAAATTCACATTCACAAACAATATGAATATATCATTGAATCTGTAATAAATAGAATACTCCAATACGAGTAAGAGTATGAATAAAAACATTAATCTTTTTCGCAAATCGCTAGGAAATTTTGACATTCCTGTCAAAATTTCTTGAAGAAAAAGTCAGGATTTCCTTACTGTAAGGAAATGTCATTTCCTCACAGTAAGGAAATGATATTTCCGTACAGTTGTTAGTGTTCTACATAAATGATTGAAAACACATTGCTTATAAGGAATTAATTCATATTTTGAAAACATCAAGTCATTGCTGAATACATTTTTAAGATCAATTTGTTATATTTACAGTAATTTGACAGTTAGTACAATTATTGAACATTGAAGGAACACTGTCAGAACTATGAGAAACATTTTGGACAACATGCGGGGTGGTAGGGTTATTTTGTTGAATATTTTGTACTGTGAAAATTGTATTTGCCACCTCAACCTTATTGTTAAGCGATTCTTCGATATATCCTTCAGCAACGTTTGATGACTTCCATCCTCCATGCCTCTTTAAACTAGTTATGTCGGCACCAGATTCAACCAATATTGTTGCAGAAGACCGACGAAAGCAGTGACCAGTATATTCTGTCGGATTTACCAAGTTCAAA